TTCCGCAGTGTGCCGTGTCTCATACGGTCCCATATAATACAACGTCATATATACCTAGCTACGCGCGTGATGACGTGAACGTCACGCATACGGAGACGGTGTGTGGTACTCTTTTAACTCCAAGTAAACCCTTCAAAATGTCTCAGTTCCAGGCTAACCCAGAGCCAGCTGATACTCCAGTCTCCAACCCCTGAGGAGGCGGTCGCTGAACCAACTGTTGTACTGGAAGAAACTGAAGAAATGGACTCTATGCAGGTTAGTCAATATTCAATCAATTGCCAATTTCAAAAGCTTATTTTCACGTAAAAGTTATAAGGTGAAATTTTACTAGTGACCGATAGCGAAAACGTAAAACCGGCTGATGATAAAGAACAACTTTCCCTTAGGAACACAGGTCGAAATTTGAAAAAAAAGTTCGACCTACCATAGTAACTCAAATCTTATCGATCAGAGTAGGTTTATTTTTAATCGTCAATTTTGTATGGAAGGACGTTTTTTTTTGTTTTCATGTTTCGACCTATGTTCCCTAGGGAAAGTTGTTCCTCGGTTACTAGTAAAATTTCACCTATTTTCTCGTAAAAGTTTGGATATACTTATTTTCATCCTTGTACATTTAGATACTTACCTCAATTTTGATCAATTTTGAGGACCCAAACAGGCATATGTGAATCTTTTACGGTTGAAAAACTTAGTTTAGAGGATTTGTGTCTGTACAAGTTTTGTTATAAATCAAATTTTATTTAATTCCAGGAGGTGATACCGGAAGTGTCGCAGAGAATCACTAGAAAGAGGAAGAGGACGTAATATGGTACCCAATCTCCCTTTTATTTTTAAGTAGTTAGCAAGCAGTAGAATGCAGACTTTTTATTCGGGTTTTGATTTTTTACCGGCAAACCTGATCGAACAAGTTGTTTGAAAGAATTTAGCCATATTTAAGATAGAATCTCTCTTAATAATTTCGAAGCACGATTCGAACAACTTGACATTGTGTTCAATGATACTTACTCAATTGTGTTGTTTTGTAATATTCTCTACTGGATTGTGTTAACTATATCCCACCTTTACCTGATTATAAGATACAACATTTTAAACTAAGATGTCAAATAATGATGCAGGTGCTGTATAATGATAATTTGATAATTATTACGAAAAATAAAAAAAGTTTGTCTTTTTAAAAATAATTTAATTTAAAACTAACTCAACTATGTACTAATCAAACTTATCTACACTAATATAATAAAGAGGAAACCTTTGTTTTTTTGTTTGTTTGTATGTAATCGATAAACTCCGAAACTACTGGACTGATTTCCAAAATTCTTTCACCATTAGAAAGCTACAATATTCCTGAGTAACATAGGCTACTTTTTACCACGGGAAAATTCCTCATTTCCACGGGAAAACGGTTAGCAGCAGGAAAAGAGGGAAATACAATGGATATTACCCAAATTAGCCAAACCGCTTTACCGATCTTTGCGATATTTGGCATTGATATTACTAGCATATTAACGATGGACATGGACTACTTTTTGTCAGCCCTCGAGGATCCGGAGTACCTGATGAAGACCACCAGCATCCCATATAAACTATAAGAGATACGGTCATGGCTTTATAGAAAAAGTTGTTCACCATGACGGGCCGCTTCTGCTGGCACATGGTCATCGAGGGTCTGGAGTACCTGATGAAGACCACCAGCAGCCCATCTAAACTATAAGAGATACGGTCATGGCTTCATAGAAAAAGTTGTTCACCATGACGGGCCGCTTCTGCTGGCACATGGTCATCGAGGGTCTGGAGTACCTGATGAAGACCACCAGCAGCCCATCTAAACTATAAGAGATACGGTCATGGCTTCAAAGAAGAAGTTGTTCACCAGGACGGGCCGCTTTTGCTGGCACATGGTCATCGAGGATCTGGATTACCTGATGTAGACGACCAGCATCCCATATAAACTATAAGAGATAGGTATGGTAAAGGCTTCAAAGTAAAAGTTCTTCAGCATGACGGGCCGCTTCTGCTGGCACATTCACCTCTGCTGGAACGGAGTAATGGACTTTTTACTACGGGCAAAGATCCAATTTCTACGGGAAAACAAGTAAGTAGCAGCGGGTGAAACCGCTGGGCGGGCCGCTAGTTTAATCTATATAGCCAGATACACATTGGCTACTTTTCGTTGAACAATTCTAGCAGATTTAGGGTAAAAGTCTAGTAAATACTTCCATAAATCTAATTTCAAGTATACTATGTCGACCACAGTTCGCGCTCTGAAGGAAAAATGATGCGGTACGCCCACGAACAAACCCTGGAAATGAGAATCATAATATAATCATTTGTAGAGCGTGCGGAAAATCATGCCGCTCCCGTATCGGCCTATATAGCCCGAGCGGCGGCTGGTCTCAACTATATCTCACAAAAGAATAGAATATTTTAGCTATGTACGGGTAGAAGAACTCTAGTACTTCGGATTGGTCGTGGTCTGCCGCGGCGCAGCTTGGCACGTTTGGCGGAGTAGCTAAAAGTTTGCCCTCTGAAAAAAGTTAAAAATATCTCATCGAAGAATAGAATGAGACATGGCTGTAGCGATAGGAGCAGTTTAGTAAAGCTTATAAATCTTGGTCTGCCGGCTGCTATCTTGGCACGTTTGGCGGAGTAGCTAAAAGTATGCCCTCTTAAAAAAGTAAAAAATATCTCATCGAAGAATAGAATGAAAATATATCGTACCGATAGCTTGCTTGAGTCTGCCTACATATATCGGGTGAAATTTTACTAGTGACCGATAGCGAAATCTCAGAACTGGCTGGTGATAAGGAACAACTTTCCCCAAGGAACATAGGTCGAAATACGAAAAAAAAATTTGGGCCTCCCATACAAAGTTACCGATCAGCTGATTTGAATTACTATGGGAGGCCAAAAATTTTTTTGCGGATTTCGACCTATGTTCCTTGGGGAAAGTTGTTCCTTATCACCAGCCGGTTCTGAGTTTTCGCTATCGGTCACTAGTAAAATTTCACCCTATATACTGGTGTGCCTGGCCACAGCCTGGCAGTTTTCCCGGTCCGACCACTTTTTTTTTTTTTGAGAAAATCGAATAACAGAATGAAACTAAGTTGTAATAATAGTTTTCTCAAACATGCTAGGAAATATGTTCATTTCTTTCAAAAAAAGAATACGCAAAGTTTCCCATTGTGTGTCATGTCTCCGAAGGCGCCAGCAAAGTTGTATGGAATTCCTTTGCTGGTGTCCGGCAAAGTAAATTCGTTACACTCTAAGCCACACAGGTAATTATTTTCAAAATAGATGTCTCCATGAATTTCATAAGAACGGAACGTAATTTTGTATGAAAAGTTGATATGAAGTAACTGAAGACAAGGCTGTATAATTTTATAATCCTTGCCTATCCTAAATGGACCAATAGAATAAAAAAAGGAATGAACTAAACATACATAATAGAATGGCTGAATAGCAATGAATACTGTGCCTTGCTAAAGGCCTATTTATTAAAAATACACAATTGGTGGAAAAACAAACAAATTGGATGGGAAAACGTGAAAATTTTCATGATTGGGGCTGTTGTAATTGTAGTCTCTTTTGTTTAAAACGGAATAAAGATGAGAGTAGTATCGAAATGGATTGCGCGCCGCCAAACATAAGGGGTGCATAAGGGCTGAAGCCAAACTGACCGTGTAAAACATTTTTCATAAAGTACGTAGGTACTTAGTTTGTTATTTCCTAGCATTTTTTGAGAAAAGCACTATGTAAGCCTCGGGGAAAATGACTTTGCTTGACTCGTATAATTGAAGTCCTCGCCTACGGCTCGGACTTCAAACTCTACTCGTCCAGCAAAGCCCTGTTTTCCCGGCCTCGACAACAATGTACTATTATTTAAAGCTGATCACATATCCCTTGGTCTGCCAGAGCTCAGTCCGGTAGTTTCTCCGGTGCGATCACTTTTCACTCTCAGTAAATTTAAATTTTAAAGGACCTTGACTTTGATTATTAGGGAGTGGGCCCCGTCAATAAAATGAAAATTTGTCAGTGTACAGAAGTGAGATTCACAGAGCTGCGCCGCGGCAGACCACGACCAATTCAAAGTACTAGAGCTCCTCTACCCGTACATAGCTAAAATATTCTATTCTTTTATGAGATATAGTTGAGACCAGCCGCCGCTCGGGCTAATACAATACAGCCGTGAAAAATCTTGCCTCAGGCACTGAATAAATCGTCTGTCACAGACATGAGGCCAATGATTAATATAAAGTCTATTTAAAATCATATTGTCATGACCGGCCTAAGCGGGAGGCTAAGTTATGCTGGTCGCACGCAATACTGGTCACGTAGTATCTAAGTATTGCGACCAGCGTAACTTGACCTCCCGCTTAGACTGATCATGTCCTTTCATTTTTTTTTATTTATATATTTTTATACTTTATTGCACATAGTACAAAAGGCGGGCGTAATGCCACGCGGCATTCTCTACCGGCCAACCAGAGGGTGAACAGAGAGAAAAAGATACGGGTGCACTCGGGTGTGAAAACATCAAAATAAAGAAAAAAACAAATTATGCCTAAGACAAATACATACCTAGATACCATACATACCTACATAATTAGTTTCTAGAATAAACCTACACAAATACTTATTAAAATAAACTTACATAAATACCTATATATATATTATATATATATATATATAATACTCTATTGTAATCAGAAATAAATACTTAATACCAAGACGGAAAATACTGCCAGCGCCATCTAGTTTCGTTATACGAATAGGTTTTTGCGTTCAAATTACCGTAGATGGCAGTAGCAGTGAACCAATTTATCTCTTTTGACAGCTGACCCAACTCTAACTAGGACATATATATTAGTGATCTGTGCTCTAACCTAAAACTAGAAGTTGTAACGTGTTTCATAACACTATGATTGCTAATGGACTTTAAATCGGCGCTTCGAGACGAGCATCAATGGGTTGAAAAATTCGTGATCTCGATTGTTGTTTAGGCATCGGTAGCTCAGTTGGCAGAGCAGTGGGACGGTACCCCACGCTCCGGGGTTCGAGCCCCGGCCGACGCGAATATTATTCCAAATTCTTATTTTCATTTAAGGAAATGTAAACCAACAACTAATACCTGTCACTATAGTAATACACTAAATAACTAAAACTTCCCTCAACTTTTTGTCAGACGTGGCGACAACGACCATATTTTTGCGACCGTTGACGCTCTGCCTATCCCGCAAAGGATGAAGGCGTGTTTTATGTATGTATGTGTATGTATGTAAAGCAACAAGAAAATCTAAGCAAGCAAAGACCTAAATAAATCAAACTTGGGAATAAATTAAATTATTTAAACAAAAGGAAAAGATCGTCCATGTAAGTTATGTTTGATTGTCTGTTAGGTTAGGAAGCAAGCTTGGTTCTTCTAAGTCTTTGTTTTGGACATTCTACGTTACCTGGGCAATTCCAAAGCTGTCTTCCGGGCCCAAAATATCGTAAATAGATTCAGTCAAATTCGGATGCACCGTCAAGACTTCCACCTGGAATTATAAAACGTGTTATTTTCTTCAAGTTTTCTTCGAGAGGGACACCAAGTTGTCCAACGACCCGATGAACCCTGTCAGAGTTTTTAAACTGCCTGCTACAAGTAGCAGGCCTCTGACATGGTTGTGTAACGACCGCCATCTTAGACAGCAACCGGGACCGATGTGCTCATCTGAAGCACGGAACCATCTTGCTTTTTCGGACAATCAGGTGGTTAAGCCTGCAATGTCCTAATCAGACTGGGAACAAATACACAAAGGGATAAATATCAATTTTGTGAGTGTCCCCAGCGGGAATTTAACCCGGAACCGTCTGAGTCCCAGGCCGTCGTACCTGCTAACCACTGCGCCACATCAAATAATACTACTAGTAACAACGAATTTTGAATTAATTGCTTATACAGATGGCGACCGGCACGATTATGCTCAGACGATCCAACAGTAAGTAGTGCTGCCGTGTAGTAGCGGCAAAGAATTCAGCCACCCCTATTCTACTCGGGGTGTTTCGTAAAAGGCGATGTAGAGTTTTTAACCGTGGCTACCATATTTTCCGATCATGGTCATCTCATCTGCCAGCAGGAAGATGATGGTCAACCGTAAGGTGTCGAAGATCACCGATAGCATTCCCAAAGAGGGTTGACGTCAAGCAGGCGGCCGGTCGTAAAATTATTTGCCATATCTTGACCTCCTTTCGGCTTGCCATAACCCTTTCTGTCCTTACCTCTCCTCTATGTATAAATTAGATACTCTGATCGGAGGATCTTGACATCCTTTCGACTCTTTCTATTATTCCCTTGTGTCCTTACCTCTCCTCTATGTATAAAATAGATACTCTGATCGGAGGATCTTGACATCCTTTCGACTCTTTCTATTATTCCCTTGTGTCCTTACCTCTCCTCTATGTATAAAATAGATACTCTGATCGGAGGATCATGACATCCTTTCGACTCTTTCTATTATTCCCTTGTGTCCTTACCTCTCCTCTATGTATAAAATAGATACTCTGATCGGAGGATCTTGACATCCTTTCGACTCTTTCTATTATTCCCTTGTGTCCTTACCTCTCCTCTATGTATAAAATAGATACTCTGATCGGAGGATCTTGACATCCTTTCGACTCTTTCTATTATTCCCTTGTGTCCTTACCTCTCCTCTATGTATAAAATAGATACTCTGATCGGAGGATCTTGACATCCTTTCGACTCTTTCTATTATTCCCTTGTGTCCTTACCTCTCCTCTATGTATAAAATAGATACTCTGATCGGAGGATCTTGACATCCTTTCGACTCTTTCTATTATTCCCTTGTGTCCTTACCTCTCCTCTATGTATAAAATAGATACTCTGATCGGAGGATCTTGACATCCTTTCGACTCTTTCTATTATTCCCTTGTGTCCTTACCTCTCCTCTATGTATAAAATAGATACTCTGATCGGAGTCCCCGCACTGCACTATATAGTTGCCGGGGAAGAACACACAATGCCTCAGCCACATAGCGAGCATTCGCTTGAAATCATCGTGTGTTTTGCAGAATATGATCGACTCCCGTATGTGAGAGCCGTATATCGCTTGCATGAGTTGGCAGCGGAAGCGGTACGGCAGTTTGTACACTAGTTCTGGCATCTGGAAAGAATAATTTATTGTAAAAGGTAGCATTGGACGTTCTGGAGTGCGGAAGGTAGCGTCGGACGCCCTGGAGGGCGTGGGTAGCGTCGGGCACCTCCAGGGCGTCCGACGCTACACTCCAGGACATCCGAGGCAATCCTGCTGTTCAGGCTGTCTGATATTACCCCCCCGCTCTTCAGAGTGTCCAACACTACCCGTAACAGATCAGAGGGAGGTGCATAACGTACCTCTCCACTCCTCGTTCCCCCGAAATGCAAGAAAATCCATAATACTAAACAAATCCAAGATTTCGGCCTACTAGGATCTTAGGATTTTGCCGAAGGAAGTCTACGATTTTGTCATATGCCGGCTTTTGGCCAAAAACCTAATTCTGCGATCGTACTGCGACATATACCTGTCTCCCTTGCTGTCTATTCCACAGCTCCCTCACATAGTCCCACATTTTGTTCATCTGATGGTCACTTAGGTCCATATCTCTCAAACCGTCTCGTAATTCATTGATTCTGTAGACTTAGTAAATTCTGCCTACCCCGTAAGTATGTTAGCGTGATTTTAATATAGATATACCCACCTATCTCCCTTGCTGTCTATTCCACAACTCCCTCACATAGTCCCACATTTTGTTCATCTGATGGTCACTCAGGTCCATATCTCTTAAACCATCTCGTAATTTATTGATACTGTAGTCTTAGGAAATTCTGCCTACCCCGTAAGTATGTTAGCGTGATTTCAGTATAGATATACCCACCTGTCTCCCTTGCTGTCTATTCCACAACTCCCTCACATAGTCCCACATTTTGTTCACCTGATGGTCACTAAAGTCCATATCTCGTGACCCGTCTCGTAATTCATTGATACTGTAGTCTTAGGCTATTGAAACTCTGTTTACCCCGCAAGGCTTGTAGGTGTGATTTGTGTACCTATATACGGTTACATTTAATTAAGTACAAATCTCTTGAGGGTGTAATCTACTCACAAAACTGAACAACTTTTGTTTGGAACTTTTCTTCGAAATATGAAAAAAAATTTGGTCCTCCCATACTAAATGATACACATTTTCAATATTTTTGTATGGGAGGTCCAATTTTTTTTTTCTTATTTCGAAGAAAAGTTTCAAACAGAAGTTGTTCAGTTTTGTGAGTAGATTACACCCTCAAGAGATTTGTACTTAATTAAATGTAACCGTATATACACACCTGGTTTTAACTATCTGCTCTGAATACGCTTGATGCTGTAGTCTTAGGCGATTGACCCTGTACCTACCCCGTAAGTATATAGGCGTTATTATATTATAGATATTACCCACCTGTCTGCCTTGCTGTCTATTCCACAACTCCCTCACATAGTCCCACATTTTGTTCATCTGATGGTCACTCAGGTCCATATCTCTCAAACCGTCTCGTAATTCATTGATACTGTAGTCTTAGGAGGTCATTAACGCTGTACCTACACCGTAAGTTATATTGGCGTGATTTCAGTATAGATATACCCACCTGTCTCCCTTGCTGTCTATTCCACAGCTCCCTCACATAGTCCCACATTTTGTTCATCTGATGGTCACTCAGGTCCATGTCTCTCAAACCGTCTCGTAATTCATTGATGCTGTAGTCTTAGGAAATTCTGCCTACCCCGTAAGTATGTTAGCGTGATTTTAGTATAGATATACCCACCTGTCTGCCTTGCTGTCTATTCCACAGCTCCCTCACATAGTCCCACATTTTGTTCATCTGATGGTCGCTGAGGTCCATATCTCTCAAACCGTCTCGTAATTCATTGATACTGTAGTCTTAGGCGATTGACACTCTGTTTACCCCGCAAGGCTTGCAGGAGTGATTTTTGCACCTGCTCTTAACTATCTGCCCTAGATACTTTTGATACTGTAGTCGTAGTCAACGTCTCTGCCTACCCCATAAAATGTATTGCCGTGATTTCAGTATAGATATACCCACCTGTCTCCCTTGCTGTCTATTCCATAACTCCCTCACATAGTCCCACATTTTGTTCATCTGATGGTCACTGAGGTCCATATCTCTTAACCCATCACATAATTCATTGATGCTGTAGTCTTGGTGATTGACGCTGTACCTACCCCTTAAGTATATGGCGTGATTTTAATATAGATATACCCACCTGTCTGCCTTGCTGTCTATTCCATAGCTCCCTAACATAGTCCCACATTTTGTTCATCTGATGGTCACTGAGGTCCATATCTCTCAAACCGTCTCGTAATTCGTTGATGCTGTAGTCTTAGGCGATTGACGCTCTGCCTACCATGTAGGGTATATTGGCGTGATTTTAGATATACCCACCTGTCTCCCTTGCTGTCTATTCCATAACTCCCTCACATAGTCCCACATTTTGTTCATCTGATGGTCACTGAGGTCCATATCTCGTGACCCGTCTCGTAATTCATTGATGCTGTAGTCGTAAGCGATTGACGCTGTACCTACTCCGTAAGTATATTGGCGTGATTTTAGTATAGATATACCCACCTGTCTGCCTTGCTGTCTATTCCACAGCTCCCTCACATAGTCCCACATTTTGTTCATCTGATGGTCACTGAGGTCCATATCTCTCAAACCGTCTCGTAATTCATTGATACTGTAGTCGTAAGCGATTAGGGAAGAGGAGTGGGCAGTTATCATGGCTGACATTTCTGATATGAGGAGACCTGAAAAATATCAAATCTGTTAAGCTCGTCTTGCAGATTCCAGCCATTCCTATCACTTTCAGTCAAAGACATTGGGAAAAAACTTCTACCCCCGAAGTAGGTGTATGAATGTATCTACGAAGATTTGTTGATAGCATTGTGATATTCTGTATTTTGTTATATCTTTCTAATACAAATAAATAATAAAACAAATAACTACCAGATACCACTAGACTTGATTTTAGACATTATGTACCCA